CAGGACGACCACTGGCGAGCGAAGCTACTGTACGTGTTTAACGACATGTTGTACACTGCGGCGATCCCCTCCTGCATTGAGAAAGGCATCACCGTCTTGCTGGCAAAGACAACTGCACCGGGGGACTGGAGCGACACCAGGCCAATCACTCTCAGTTCAACTTTGCTTCGATCCTTCTCTCAGCTCATCATCGGCCGTGCCTCCCACTTGCTCCAGGGGGACTCTCGTCTTCAATGGTCGCGTAAATCGCGACAAGGAGTGGAGCTTATTCTTATACTCCGGCGCCTTTGTCGGGTGGCACACGACTGGGGACTGCCGATGTTTCTAGCCAAGCTCGATATACGGAAAGCCTTCGACTCCATATATCAGGAAGCCATGGCAGAACAGATCGAGACGGATGTCAGTGACAACGGGGGAATGCCATGGGAGGCCAGAGCATGGATATCCCTCATACATGCCAATGAGATCGAGATTGTCTTCCGGGAGGAGCACTTCAAGCTCCCGCAGTCGAATGGAGTGCGACAGGGCTCCCCTGATAGCCCTATTGCCTTTGGACGAATCGTCGCCAAGGACCTGGAGAAGTCACTGGCAGAGGCCAAGCATGCCAAGCCCACCACCGGGGAACCTCCCCCCGAAGATGGAGGATGTTACATGGACGACAGCTATATCTGGTCGACGTCTGCAACTCACCTCCAGACGATGCTGAACCGTGTGGGGACAAACCTGCCGAGGAAAGGGCTTGACATCCACCCCGTGAAGACGGAGATCATCGACAACCAAGAAGGGGGGACGCCTTTCCATGTTGCGGGCAAGACAGTGCTTTCCAAGGGCACGGACCATGTTATCCGCGTGCTCGGTAGTCCCCTCAACTTCCGAGGCCAGCCATCCATCATTGTGGCAGAGATGCAAACACGAGCACGAAAGGCCTTCGGAAAACACCGGGGGACCCTCATGTCGAACGCCCCTCTGAAGAGCAGACTTCAGATGCATACAGTGCTCGTACGGCAATCAGCCCTTTGGGCGTGCGAAACGTGGGGCTGCATGGACTTCATCCTGAAATGCGCCAACTCGACACAGCTCGTCCAGGCACGGAACATGCTGAAGATTTCCCGAGGGGTCGGGGAACAGTGGCACGAGTGGAACGTGCGAACTCTCCGCAAAGCCAGAGCACTCCTCCACTACTACGAGATTCAGCGATGGTCGACATTTATCCTGCAACAGGTGTGGGGCCTCACGGGGCATGCAAGCCGCGGGGATAAAGTCGCATCGGCTATGATGCGTTGGAGGAATCTTCAATGGTGGAGGATAGAGCAGAGCATCCCCCCGGCCTGGGGGGGACATCGCCATTCCCGCCGCTTTAACCCGCACTTAGACGTCGAGAGACAGATTGCCGCCGTCGCGGGAGAGGATTGGCAGACGGTCGCAGAAGATCGTCTTCGTTGGGCAGCTATGGAGGAGACTTTTGTGACGAGATTTGACGTTCCTTGGGCAAGCGGAGATCAAGCCCAGCTTGGCAATTTGGCCCCGAACCAAGCAACGGGGAAGCGCAAGCCACGCAAGCCGCCCCGCAGGCGGATCGCAGACAGGGGGACATAAGTGAAGTGGGGGAGCCGCAGACCTCCCTCGCCGAGAGAGTCCTTCCATGCGAGAGGCACGCTGCTACGGTCCGGCCGGGTCCCTCAAAAAGACCGATCGTGGGGACAACCTGCTTCAGTAGCATGCCCTCCAGATGCAAGCAATCATGCTGACCTCATTCCATGTCGCAGTTCAGTGATGACATGCATACGGGGTTGAGGCCTCTTGATCCCTCCCGACCCTCGATGCTGCAGGACGACAGACATTGTAGATCTGCAAAGGAAGCGTCCCGTCTGAGTGCACACATGCAAGGGGAACGAGCACTCCCATGCCGCTTGTATTGGCTCTTGTTGACACGATGCCGACCGGGGACACCGTGCATTACATGTTTGTGCATTGGACTACCGGTACTACCTGACCCACTTCTATGTGTACTGCATGTTCGCACGCCTGTACCCCGATCGCTACTTCGCATGCTGATCGTACTCATCGCTCCCTCCTACGTAGACAGCTAGACAGATAGAGAGCAGAGGTGACCTCACACAGACCTTGCCGCAGCCGCAGACCGCACAACATGCACCAGCAGGCAGCAGCAGCTCTGTGGACTTTGACAGTCATCACCCACACGGTGGGGATGAACCACCAGCACTTTTCAGCAGGGGACACCAACCCGAGGCAACCGCCGCAGAACCAGCAGCAGCCGGGAACGACCGATCCAGCACTGGCGACAGCACCACAACAGCACTCCTCGACGCAGCAAGCGCAAGCAACCCAGGCTTTCCCTCCCCAGCAGCAACAGCAGCAGCAGCAGCAGCAGCCGCAGAACTGTGGTCCCATCCACCCGGCCGGCGCATGGCCAGCAGCCAGCGGGGGAATGCTATCCAACCCTGTGCCCATGACCCCGTGGCTTCCTCCATGGGTCGCGAACCAGCAAAACACTGGGGGATACACCCCCATGGCAGCCACCCAGTTCCAATGGCAAGCTACCCATCCGGCAATCCATGGAGGCATGGTGACATCCTGGGGTGGCTACTCTTTAACCCCGGGGGCCACAACACACCAAACCCCGCAGGGACAGCCTGCTATCCATTTCCCACCGCCTCAACACAACATTCACATGCTACCACAGCCTGCAACTCATGGGGGACAACAACCACCACCATCGCAGCAACAGCAGCTGCTGCCGACAATAGCCTACCCCTCGCACCCTCCGCCAGGCCTCCCACAGACAGGCATGCAACGCCACGGCTACTCCTCCTCGCAGCAACGCCACCAGCCATCGACACCACAACAACAGCCAATCTACCAGACACCAGTGCAAGCAACACAACAGACCGTCCCGACACAGCCCCAAGCTCAGGGACTCTGGGCACGGCGATACGATCCAGACACTGATCCATGGGCCACCCCACCGGAATCACCTCGCCATCCCAACCAGCCACACCAGTCCCAGCAGATGAGCAGTGGAGGCCCACACCCGAACTCGGACTTTGCAAACAACCCGCCGTGGTCGCTAACCCAAGAACAAGCTGCCACCCTCCTAGCCGAATCCCCCCTGATCTCCGCCCAACGAGAGGGGATGGCGAAGCCCACCACAAGCAGCAGCCAGGACGCCACTCCCACAGTGAACACGGCGGACCACAGCTCCCCGCAGCAGCAACCACAGCAAAACACATACCCGGCCGATACAACAGCACCGACAGAACATGGCACGACGAGCAGCGGAGCACAGAACGTGGAGCCACCCCCTACTGACGCCACGGCAGGCATGCGCGACAGGAGAAGAGACAGCCAGCAAACCACGACGCAGCAGCGACGATGCCCCCACTACAGCTCCAACCGCCGACACCTACTGGGACGTACAGTGGGGGACCACAGCGGACGAAACACAGCCACCTACACAAACATCCGCAGCAGACCCCCCGAGCATGACGGCGGCCACACCCCCGGCGGACACAACCGAGCAAGTTAGCCCACCTCCACAAGCATCCGCAGCTGCTACCTCGAGCATGCCGGACGCAACACCATCGGCAGACACAACCGAACCAGTGAGCGCCGCAGCCACCCACAGCGAGGGACAACAACAGGCCAGCAAGCAACCCCCCTGGGAGCGCGATGCCACCTGGGGGGGACGCGGACAAGCTACAAGCTCCACACGACGCACCGAAGCAACCGCAGGACATGGCTCGCAAAGGGTGCGGAATAAAGCAGGCAAGTACATCTACAAACAGCATAACAAGCGCGGCAACCGGCAATGGCGCCCCCCCCCCAGCAACAGGGGGGACCGGGCTGGGGGATACTTTACACACCGCAGCCCCCCCCAGAAGCCAACACAGCCAGCAGCGGCAGCAGCAGCAACGGCCGGGGAACACCCACCCCCACCCCCTCTGACACCCAGCCCGGCACAAAAGCAGACACCCGCGCCAAAGAGCGCTTCGCTGAGCTCCTCAACAAGCACATGCTACCCCGCGACACAGCCCCAACACAACGGGGCCAACAGCCTGCTGCAGCTGAAGCTTGCGAGACAAGGAGCTCGGAAACACACCAGCCACACACAGCCCCAACGCAGCATACAGAAGTGGACTGGTCCAGCTGGCCAGGGATTGCACACAACCCCCCCCAACTCAAGGCCCCCCTGCAACGCTGCCGAGCGGGGACAGCACGCAAGCAGCGCAAGCGGAGTGGGCGGCGACGCAGCCAGCATTCCAAACTCCACCGGAGCTCCCGCCGGACTTCACACTACCGACAGCCTCCTCAGCACCGACAGAGTTCACCGCGCTGACTCACGGCTGCTGGGAAATCAACATCCCTCCAGCACAGCAACCCCCTGGCAGCAGCAGCAGCAGTGGAGACGGACAGCATGGAAGGTTGCCGATCCTCTACGTACCCTACCTTGGCCATGGCAAACGGGACCCCTGGACCAAGCCCCGCCCTTCACTAGGGGAACGATCGGACGCACAGCACCCATGCCGCAGGGGAACGCCTGGCTCCTCATCATCACTGGCACCCCCCACTTGGATGAATACGAACCCAACACCATGCTGGCAGTCGAGGGGGATAAGTTCATGATAGAACTCACGAGCCGAGGATGGAGACTTACAGTCGAGCATCCAACATCTCTCCCAGCCCGAGACCAACGTCCCCCCACCAAGAAGCCCAAGCATGTCAACACACCGAACAGGGGCGAGGATGCCAGAGAGCCCCCCAACACAGATGCAGCAACGGCAGCCAGCAGCAACGAGCCGGAGGGGACCACAACAGCCACCACCCCCACAGACACCACTCCTCCCGTGGAACACACAACAAACACCCACGACACGACAACAGAACAAGCAGAAGCAGCACAGTCGGCAGCGCGGGACGACGACACCCCAGTCCAGTGGTTTGAAGAGGTGGAGGACTCCCCACCACACGTGCCTCTGTCTGAGAACTCCCAGGCGGAGGTTAGTCAACTCGGTGAGGGCAGGTGGCACTTGGCGATTCGAGCCGATAAAGGCAAGAGCACTAAAAAGCTGGCGGGCCTCCCCTGTGGTAGAAGGAGAAGGCGGGGACATAGACGACGCTCCCCCGCTACCCATCGGGCTCGAAGGAGTCCTAGAATTCCTCACGGAGGACCTTTGGGTCCTGACCATCGAGCTTACTCCCCCCCATCCCAATTATGAGCAAGACACTATGCTCCTCTCACCGGGGGACAGGTTGCTACTCGAGAGGAGTCTCACTGGGTGGCAAATCCGTGTCGAACACCTCGACCCGAATTGCCCTCCGCCCATCCAACGGCTGAGACAACGGCGCCGCGAAACCCTAGCAGCAGCAGCCCGCAACAAAGACACTGCAGCAGCGGGGACGCGGGGAAGAGGACACCTCCCTAGCATCCCAGAAGGAGGTGAGGCCAGGGACAGCCAGGCCAGCAGCAGCTCCACGGACAAGCCAGGGGGACAACGCATCGGAGAAGCAACCACAAGCGCCGGCTCGAGCTCTTCACACAAGACACCACAACGCTACTACCCACAGGCCCGTAGCAAGCCAGTGCAGCCCGCAGTACCCGAACGCACACACACAAACACACTGGCGGACGGGCGACAGCTCCGAAAGTCTCAACCCAACAAGCCACAGCAGCCGACGCCGCAGCAGACACAGCAAACCCAGCAACAGACAGCCACGTCGCAGCAGCAGCAGTCGGGGACGCAGACAGAACCATCGCTCGCAAGCATGCTCAGCGATGGACGCAACCTCGGCAGAAGGGGTGGGCGTGGCGACAACAACAACCACCACAACGGGGAGCCACCCCGAGAGCACCACACCCACCACATCCCCGACGTTGCCTAGAAACTCGGCAGACCCTGACGAGGAAGACACTGCAGCCCTCGTGCAAACATACGCGACCACCAGACCCACAACAACTGAAGCCTCACAAAGCGAGGAGCTTGCAGCAGCGACCTCAGCCACGCAGCAGCAAACACCCACAACACCCATCGAGACACCACCCGCAGACGCGACCTTGACCATGCAGCCACCGGTCGCAATCACTAGCAGCAGCAGCAGCAATGCCAGCAGCGGAGCTCACCTGGTCTCCCTCCGAACGCCGACCCCCCCAACGCAAGACGGGGAACCACCAGCGCAAACGGGGGAACCGAGCTCAGGAGGCAGCGACCGCAGACCCATGACGCGCTCGTGGCAACGGGTCGAACAAAAGCTCGTTGAGATCCGAAGGATCGCAGAGCAGCACGAGGGGTCGCAAGCAGAAGCGATCGCACAAGCAGCAGACACAGCACTGATCGATCTCCTGGTGGACACCCCCACCGCCGTGCAACTTGAAGCGGGGGAGCAACACCCCGTGCCACAGGAGACGACAAAAGCAGCAGCAGCTATCAGTGCAGCACAACAGCTCAGTAGTTTAGCCAAGAGCCTGCTAGGTAAAAGGGGGAGCGTAGTTGTGCCCTATGCCATGGTTTCCTCCCAAGTCGCTGCCCTGATAGAATGGGTGGAGACCTTGGATCGGGGGAGTATCGCAGTGCATGTGCAACTCCCTCCCGTCCTCACACCGCTCCGTGAGATCCTCGACCAGATGTTGCAGGGCCAGCCGGGGGACGCTACAACCTGGGCGCGACTGGTCGCCGTGGCGGAAGCCTTTGAGGCACTGATCTCGGGGGACACCCTGACACACCCGGCAGACGTGCTGGGACAGAGCCAGGGGGGAACAGCTTCTCCACTACTATGCGCTGATGGTGTGGCACCGGAGTGGTACAACGCGGTCGAAACACTGCGGGGACTGCTGCAACAGATTCCCCACTGGCCCACGCGAGTCCTACCGACGATCCAACAAGCTGCTGTCAACCTGGTTCGGGGGATCGCCATGGCCACCCCGGAACAGCACCAAGGAGGCCCGGGGGAATGGACGCCTGACCAGTGGTGGTATGCAGAAAGACACCATGGGCTGGGGGACGCGGCACGCTCTGCAGCGGGGGACGGAGCTGCAAGCACCTCGCCACGTAGCCGCCCACATCGGCGTCCACGCAGCCCGAGTTCGGACGCGAGCCATAGACGACGACGAGTGCTGGCAGAGCATGTTCATGGCCACGATCTGTGATGACGGGGGACCAAACTACGTGGGGGACTGAGAAGCCACGACGAGCTGAGCTGAAAGATGCCCGAAGTGAGCCTTCTGTCCCATCGATGATGTGCACAAGCTTAGCCCTTGGCTCTAGGTTACGCTGCATTGCTTTTTCAAACAACCGAGGGGGACAGAGGATGAGGCGAAATTTTGCAACACAGTCACACTTAGGTGACAAGCTGGAGTGTCGAAGCTGGTAGGTGGGGTACTGGGGTTTAGGTTCTACTTCCTTCTCCCCAAAAACGCTCCCAGCATGTCGCATCGCATAGGGGGAAATGCCAAAGCACCCCCAAACCAAGCCTGAAGCCACCCGTTTCCTGTCAACTTGAGTACACACGTGTGACCTATAGGCTTGCGAGGGAGAGCCGTGCCTTTGTTCTGCAAATCAAGGGGGACGGGCACAAGGTGAAAAGGCGAAGCCGTTTCAACATAGTCCATATATCGGCAATGTGCTAGATTGTTGTGCTGTTTTCACACTTGTTGCATCCTTTACTACTTGCTCCATGAGAAGTCCTAGCACGTTGCAACGATACGCAGATTTTCAGGCCTTTCGCCAGCTGAGCTCGGAACATCCGGGATGTCCCACCTGTCACACATATGTTAACCTCCCATATTGTCATGAAGTTGCTTTCACTGGAGCAGGGGGACAGCCAGGGCAAAGAAGCTCCACTGTGCGGAGAACGAGTAGGACCCAGACCACCATAAGTTAGCTTCGCTTTTACGGTTGATACCTTGTTGTTCTCTCGGCTGCAATCAATGGTCTGGGCCTCAGTTCGGTCTGTGCAGTAGTTGCTTTTCGAGCATGCAGTGTCGATGGATTCCCGGGGGAGAGCGTTTTAGCCTTCGTCTAGTGTTTCCTTCGGTTCATGCTCGGTTTGGGTTTGGTGTTTTCTTGCTCCGGGGACCATTTCATTACGCTGAATTCAGTTGGACGTCTAGGCGGGACGAGTGGTTACTGTTCAGCCTAGCTAGCCCCTTAATGTTGAAGGTCTGAAATTCCCGCCCTTCAAGCACTGATTCAAACAATTCGAAGCAGCTTTCACACCCTCCGAAAGCCCCAATAACAATTTGGGGGGCCAACTGGCCGGGGGGTTTAACAGNNTCATGCCCTGGGGAAGAAGAGGGAGAAAGAGTGGAGGCCATGCAGTTTGCAGACGAAGTGGGGCTCCCGGGAGTGACAGACCACCGAGCCTGCCACCAGGCTGGCGCAGCTGCATTCCCGCGGACCGATAGGGGGGGCAAGCCGCTCCAAACACCCAGGCCTGTACAACTTCGAGTGGGGGTACACTGGGGAGAAGAAGTGCAACTCGTCAAGAAAAGACCGCTGGCTGGGGGAGCCGAAACACCAGCGACGGAGAAAGAAGGGGGAGTACTACATCCACGAGGATCTGCATTACCAGAGGGAGCGGCCAGTTCATCAGCGACCCCCACACGACCTGCCCCACAGACCTGAAAGAGGGGCGGTCTGAGCGCACTACAGGCGAGGCTTCACTAGCCCAAGCTGCCTGGCTAATGATGACTAGTCGTCTTCAGGCGTGGGTTCTCTGTTCTGTTCACTGTTCAATTGAAATCCGGGGAACTGCGGCACGAAGCACACCAAGAAGCCTAGCGCCCGTTGATCACTGCTCGGGGACTTGAACTACACTTTGGCCCTTTGTACTCCTAGAGCGGGTTGCCATGCTGTCTTCTACCGCGAGCAGTCGTGTGCGCCAGGTTCAGTTCAGAATCAGGTGGGGAGGCAGGCTAGGTGGGGTTAAGTAACCGGAAGTTTCGTTTGGTCGTACTCAGTGAGACATTTGTGGCTGCCTGTTCTCACTGAGCAATGCTTCTGCACATAGGACAGGTTGGGGAGACCACGGATGACTCGAGTGCTGCCTTCCGGGGTTATCATGGTAACGGTTTAGCAGGGGTGTCGTTGGGCGGGGGGTACAAACAGGCACACTCGAGGGAACGTGCAACTCTCCCACCCCGAACGGGGCCTAGAAGACCAACCGACACTCACCTTGAGGGGGTTGGCCTACGGGCCGGGGTGCGTGCACCCAAACCCCAAGCAAGCAAGCAAGCAAGCAAGCAAGAGACAGCGAACCGTGCCCATTGTAGCTCAGTTCCTGGTTGGGGTTGTAACCCCCGCGGTGGTTCCGGGGGCGAGCTATTGGTCCTTCATTGTACCCAAACCCTACACAGGGGTGCGGGCAAATCGTTTGCCTAAAGTGGTGCCGAGGGCCTGATCCTTGACCGCGGCACCTCGGTGGCCCGTCAGCGAGGGGTAGTATGTGGAAACGCACGTGAACCGGCACTTCTAGAAGCGGAAAAGCACGTTACAGTAAGTCGACGCCGATGTCATCGCAGATCCCCGGTCCTGGCGTCGAAGCTTGAAAGGAAAGGTGTGCATCCACAGTCACAGCTCCGGCCCGGCCGAATGCCAGATGATCAAGTTTCCTGGCGGTCCTCAAGCTTTGCGCATACACAAGTTTTCGTTTTCGTTCCCCCAAAGGGGGGTAGGTTAAAGCGACCCATCACTGCAATTCTCGTAGCCTGTGACAGTGGACGATTGTGAAGGACCCGAAGACACTGCAGATTCAGGACATTGGGGATACTCGCTCTTGTTCGCACAGTTTATGCTTTGGCTCCTTACATCTCCTTACAGTCGCGAGAGCCATGCTTGCTGTGACCCCATTCGAACGTACGCTGTGTCCAACCACTTGCGTAGGTTCAGATGTTTTGTTCTGGTCGACTTGCTCATAGAGCCAAGAAGGTGTGAGCACAGGGGGCCAAATTGTGAGATCGGCACTTTGTCAAATCCGGGCAAGAAGAAGAGAAAAGCAGGATGAGAGCGAGGGACAGGGGGCAAGACAGAGGGCAAGACGTGGAAGGTCAGCCACGTTTCAGGTGAACCGTTGCCTGAGCTCCCAACACCCCGAAACATGAGCGTGTCTCTGTTGCGTGAAGGGCAGTGGCTTGCTCTCGAAGCCCAAGAAGAGGATTGCGTTAAGCAAATCTCCAGCGCGTTCTTAAATCCTAAACGCGGAAACAACGGAAGGCTTGCTCGCCTGATCAGGCCTCATCTACATTTTTCTCCCTCATCTGGTGGTGTCATTTTCTCCTCACGAGTAGACTCAGTGGAGTCCTTCAGGTCTGGTGGACTTGGACCCTGATCAAGAGCCAGTTGTGTAGAAGCGGTAAGTCCGAAGTCCAGGATAATGCGCGTGCAGATACGGGCCTCGGTCCAACTACTTGCCAGCCTTGTGTGTTGGTTGTCATTCTTTCGTACTGACAAGGGTGCTTCTCCGTGGGGAAAAGGTTTGGGCCAAGCGGATTAAAACGGCATCGCAGGGTTGTACAGCCCTAGAGAAATAGAGTGGCAACGCTCATCGAACACGTGACTCTCTGGTCATTTGTGCCTCGTTAGCTCATCACTCAACCGCAGAGTTCGAACCTGGCCGGCAGGCAGTTTCTCCAATTGTGAACAGTCTTCTCCACGCAGCTGAGTAGGGCTAGCTAGGCAGGCGGTCAAGAACTGCAGGACGGAAACCAATTCTGGGCACAGACACTCCTGGAGGAGCGGTCAGGCTGCAACACATGCGCCTTTGAACTGAAACGACTTCAACTTGGCGGCAGTTGCTGCAAGCCCATGACCGACGGAAATTTGCAGGTTTTGGATGATGGTAGTAGCTTGCTTCTTGATTGCCTTTCCTCGTCTCAGCTGTTTCAACAGAGTACATGGCAGGCAGCGCGATTGTTTCCGGCCTTGGCCATCCTAAGTCCCGAGACGGTGCGGCCAACAGCAGTGCAGGCGCCTCGCTTTCAACTGCATCATGGTTTGCTCTCTGCAAGCAAGGATTGACGGGTGGCGGAGACTGTGCCAAGTTCAGAGACCAGTTTAAAGCCGCACCCACCTAAGGAGGCCTTCAAGTCCAAATCCGATTCCCCTAGCTGAAAGACCGGATGGCAGAGACAACTCGTACTGTAGTGTGCATGGGGACAAAATTCTAGGTGTAAGCATTGTTGATGAGATCCTGCCACCACCGTCAACATGTTGGATTTGTTGCTTCGCGGAGGCACTGGCGGCGGAGTTCCACTGGTCTGACACATTTCAAGGCCGTGCACCACTCGCCGAGGCCTGCAATGTTGACTCTGCACATGCTTATCTTTATACAGAAGACGTCAAGAGCATGCTTTGCCAGGCGCTCGTGGAAAAGGCACGCGGTGCATTCGTGCAGCTGCTCATGAGAATTCACCAGAGAAAGCAGGCTGCAATCCATCCGTCTCCACAATCTAAAGGGCCTGCACGTGATCTACCCGCATCGGTGAATCCCTGAGAACATTTTCTACTCAAGATTTTTTCACGAGGTTTCGCTCGCGGCACCTTGCTCGAGGCCATTCTGGAGCAGCCCTTCGGTGATGTGCCGCCTCTGCGAAAGAGCCCGCAGGCATAGAGCGGCACATGGTTTCGTGTCGCGGTGCACTCTCAGCGCGTAGTGCTCGGTTTGAGGCTTGCCCGCTACACACGGCGACTATCCTTCAATGGCTGGGACTCGGCTCCACGCAGGAGCGGCCCCGGACATTGCTCTGTCGCTTGTGCTTGTGGCTGCGTGGGTCTCCGGGCTCATGCAGGCGAGGGGCCCCGCGAGCAGAGCGCTCTGCGCTTTAAAGAGCCTCTGCTCGCTCCGTAGCGCAACGAAAAGTTGGGAGGGAACAAAGCCGTCGCCAGCGCCAGAAGCGGCAACTGCCACGAGCAACCAGCGACGTTGATCGTCCACTCGAGGAAATTAAGCGGGCAGAGCATCAGCCGCTGAAAGCAGACCGTGGGGCAAACCCTAGTCCTGGAAAGCAGGTGGCCGAGGAGTGCCTGGATGTGAAACAAACGAGTCCGCCGTAGTCTGCCACAGGTGCAGGTGCGCTCCTTCAAGGTGCACTGCAGAGACAACCTTGTGCTGAGTCGCATTCGTGAGCACACAACAGGCCATCCAACAGGAGGCCGAGGAGAGTCCCAGCAGCGAAGAAAGTCCCGGGCGTGGGGACAGGCAGGAGTTCCGAAATGACCTCGAAGTAGACGATATTTACTGGTTTCGCTTTGTTTCGCTTGCATACCGGTCAGGCATCCTGTGATGCTCTCCAATGGGCTGCTGGTGTATTGGCGACACACCCGGTGTTACTACTCTTGCGCTGCCGCCTTGCCCTGCTGGCCTTCGAGGCGCTGCGCTGATGGCGAGGGCAGCTCGTTGCGGGACAGCGGGGGGTGTGGCCGACCAGGAACCCTCGCGCGCAGCAGTCCTAGCTCAGAATTTGGGTAATAAGATTTAAGAGCTGGTAGCCCTATTTGTTAAATTCACTGTAAAACGACAAGAAACAGGTTATTACGATAAGGTTTCTGTGTCAGTCTCAATATGGTAGGGATGTAGTGTAAAAGAACACCAAAAGCCCAAGTTAACATAGCAGACCTTCCAACTGTGGCAAAAGTAAATCCGGATCCCAAAATCGATTCGCAGTAGTGAGGTTTAAACTTTTGGCATGAACATTTGTACTTGGCAAACTAGTGATCATCTTTGCATAAAGCCAGTATTGAAGGATAGGAAGCGTCCGGATTGAATGGATATGTGCAAAGAGTGCACTGCTGTCCCCGTCCTCAAGTAGACCCCGAGAAGCTTTGTCACGGACGGGGGCAATCATGCGATGTAGCAATATAGATAACCATAGCTCGGGTCTTGTAAAGCGATAGGGAATACACAAAAAACGATAAAAGTGTCAGAAAGGGAGGAAGCCGTGACTGGGTTATTTGCCAAACCTCATTGTACGGCTGAGGGGGAAGCAGCTGGCAAGGGCCCCTGAGCCCTGATGATCCTATGGAGCCAACAGACGAGCCGGCGACCTGGTCACGTGCTTTTGTGCTGCCTCATCCTGCATTTCTTGCAGCTGGAGGTGGGGACAGGTGCTCTTGCCCAATTTCGCTGTCCAGCTGAGCCAAGCTGAGCTCAAGCCTCGAGTCTTGCGGGCTGTTTCAAGTCTTCGCAAGACGGCATGCTGTTCCACAGCTTAGGCTAAGCTATACTGCTTCCAGCATCAGCGATCGTCAGCAGTTTCGAACTGAGCGACGTAATCGTACCGACCCCCACAGACACGTGCACAAGCAGATGTGACGAGACGTTTGACTTGTACTGGGGCCTGAGGCTCGCCCTTGTTGGCAGTGCACGCGGTCGAGAGCAGGTGCCGTCTTCCGGAAACGCGCTTGCTTCTGTTTTGGAGACCGCCGATTCCGAAGCATTTCGGGGCCAGGTTTTTCACCCAGCTTCGCTGCTAGAGTTGGCATGCCAATGCATGCCTTTTTCGCTATTTGTGCCGCATGCTGAAACGGCCGAAAACTGCTTTTGATACAACATGCAGCAGCAGCACAGCGCTGCGCCACTGGCCAACTGGCTGATTCAAGAGTTTTGGGAGTGTTCAATCTGTGGTGGCTTCGCGGCCCCCATGAGCCAGCTGGGCGAGCCCGCTTCATTTAAACTTAGGGTTTCCGATGACACTCGCCACTCCTTTCAGTAGCCTCTAGTTGAGGGATGAGGGCTTGGGTGTTAGCCAGGACAAGGTTGTGTAGGTTCTAATCTGGCTTGGCTTGGTTTGGGTGGTGCACAGGTCCTGTGGTGGTTTGGCTTGGCTGCTTGGGTCAGAACGGGACTGCGCACAGCAAAAGTGGAGTTTTGCCGGTTGGTGACGGGTTCAGGGCCGATTTGGGGTTTGGGGCTTCGTCGTTTGTTTTGTGCAATTTTTTTGGTGCGTCACGGGTTCTCCATGTTTACAGTTTAAAACGAGTGAAGCCAGGTGTGATCAACCTGTGCCTGCAACTTTCAAGTTGTACAACGGGGACACAGAGGGAAAGTGCGTGTGCGGAACACAGTCTGGTTACGGGGGTGAACTCCTGGCAGCCTGACTGCCAGACACCATTGGCGGGTTGGATCATGTTGGTATTATTCTGAGCGGATGGAATGGACGGGCATGGAGTGCGCCAGTTGGCAGTGCATAGGGTGCAGCCCAGCGTGCACCGTGAACCTGTCGGCACTAGTTGGCATTGGGTAGGCATTCAGCCGGTGCAGAGTTTTAGTTTAAAGGAAAAGAACAGAGAGAAATGCGACTTTGGTGTTCCGGACACCACGGCCTGTGGCTTCTGGTTGCCAGCCCTCGGCATATCAAAGAAGCAGGCGAGGCACGACGGTGGCGGCTCGTGACTCGACCGGTTGTGCAGAGAATGCTGCGCACACTCGTGCATCTTCGGCTTCGTCTGAAAACAAATCGGCCCACAAGGGCTCTGTGGCTTGGTGCAGGGGGGCAGGGACTTCCGATGCTACCGTAACCAACGAAGTTATGCATCAGAGTGAAAAGCCGGTATGATCAACCTGGTGTACCTGCACTTTCAGAAAGTAACAGTCTAGTGCCGGCATCCTGCGAGGCTCAACCATCGTATGTGTGTGTGTGTACGAAAATGTGTGTGCACATCCTGTTCCGAAGGAAGTAGTCTGCATTTTGATTTGGCTACGCGCACAAAGCAGGGGGCAGTGTGCTTTCTATCATCGTGGTGGAAGTTCTGTGAAGCAATCTGAAATGCCAGATGGGGTGCCTGCGTTGGCAGCCCGGACTACCCTTAAATCTTCTGTTGCTTGTCACTGGCCAATAAAGTGATTGAGATCAGAGAGAAAGCGTTAATTTCTTGACAGCTACCTGATTGAAAGACATACAACATGAAAGACATACTGACATACAACATCTGAAGATTGCTGGAAAGTTGGTTTTGGTTGCAGTCATTGGGGGCGGTCCTGGAGCAGAATGCGAACTTGGGTATTGTAACGGACACCAACCCTCTCAGTCTCAGGCCCACGCATTTCTAGAATTCCTCATGTACAGGCCCCTGCTTCACCGCATCGTGGAGATAGAAGCGGAGCTCACGAGGTAGCCGGCCTGCTAGAAGCCACGCAATCCACCGGGCACTTCCACACCTTCACCTGCATTGCAGACCAAAATGGTTCAAGTGACGCTGTAACAACAGCAAGTGCTTTGGCAAGTGCCATTGCATTGGCGAACTCAGGACCCATCCATCGAAGAAGAGATCTACGTGCGTCATCATTCTTTGACTCCGTTTGTGAGTCCTTCTATGGCACCCGCTATGTCGACAACCGCATTGTCATTGTTGCTCGACGGTTATGCCCACTCAAACACAACTCGCACGGGATTTGGTCGAATTCGCCCCGGCCCCCAAATTCGTTGGTCAAGACATGTTGTAGTCGTCTGGGATGGGGCGGGGCAAGCTGGGCTGGGCTGTCACTGGCATGCCTGGGCTTGAGTTCTGCCTGTCATATCCTGTCGTGGTCCTGCGTTTTGCCAGTGGAGTGACCGGCCGGAGGTGCAAAGCAACAGCGACCGCGGCGATGAGGCTCCCATCCCAGGGTGGACTGTGCGGGCCTCAGTGACTCAGCCCGCTTCGATGCCATTGTGAAGCGAGGTTCCGTTGCTCAGGTCGAGCTTTGGCTGCGGCTGACCACAAGCTCAGCGGAGGCAGCACCTCGGTGCCGAAATTCCATTCGATTTTTCATTGTCAGCGTTGACAGCAGGATCTTTGCGTTGTGCGACGTGGCCATGCCGAGCAGTACTGGTCACTACATTACAGGCCCAGGCCGTGAGCAAAATGCTGCCGCAGACTTTTGTTGCATACCTTCTTGTCTTGAACTCAACTCCTGCAGTCGTCCTGGTTTTCTTCTGTCGGCTTCTGGGCAGTCTTCTCCAATCTTGGAAGGGGATTGTGCGGTGCCAAGGACATATCAGACTCGCACCATGCAAAGCGTGGACTCTGCAACTTGTGAAGCACGAAGGTGAACCCCTACCTCTCGGCGAATGGATTCACATTGCATTGAGGTGTGACTTGAGCTTGTTGGAGGCTTGTGCCCAGCGATGCATGGTGCGGTCGTCACACAATGCCCTCAAGTTGTCAAGGTGTGTCTGGATGGCCACACGGTCATCAGTTGTACCAAAGCCCTGCCTCCTGCACCGCTGGAGGAGGGGTGGAGCTTCTGTACTGAGATGCACTCTTTACGCTAGCACTGCTTGGAGGCCAGCATTTCGTTCGGCCCTGCTGCCCTGGATGTCACTGAGGCTGGGGCGGCTTGGGCATGGATTCAAACTCTAACAGGTGTCGGCAGGTTCGCTGACACCAGCCTTGCACGGCCATACCTCTCAACTGGCACGACTGTCTTTCATGGGATGGCCCCGCATACAACGCTGTCATGGCGATATAACGTAACCGTTGAAGCCAGGGAGGTTCCAGTATCTGAAACCGAACAGTGCCGCTTTCTTTGTTCGGCTTCGAAGTCGAACAGTGGGCAGAGTTTAGAGGGTTTTTGCCGGCCATGCGACTGTAATGCTAGACTGCTTCAAATGCTCTGTCCTTCTCGGGCCTTGTGCTGTTTCTGAGCAGGTGTCTTTGCATCGCACGGCCTCTAAACCTAGTAGCTTGGTTCTGTACAGATGGCGAGTTAGTGAGTTCTACTAGGAGCATTCTCGGCCTTGAGGTCATTAGTCATCAGTTCTGTTTGAATGCGGTGCTGTCCACAGGTACGGGTGTGGGGTGCCTACCGTTCTGACAACGACCTTGTGCAGTTTCAACGCCAATGCCTGGATACGGTGCTTAGCAGATCCTCGGCAGAAGCTACTGGTATCATGAGGTCTCGAAACGTCTTGTTTGTCATGGCTTGGCTCGAGGTGAGCTTCGGGGCGAAGCGTGGAAGAAGGCTCGCCAGTGTGAGCACAGCGACCTGGTCCGATGATTCGCGGACTAGCGCGCAGAACAACTTGGGCTGTGAGACGGCAGCCATGCTGCCGCTTCCTCCTGACATGCTTTCCATTGAAGCTTGAGGATTTGCAGACATGCGGGGTCGCGCTCTCTCGCCGTTGCATCATGCCGCTACGAAAGGGCTTAAGCGAACCGGCGAACTGCTCCTTTTTCATGCTAAAAAGTCCGACACCAGCGCGGCCTTCTTGAGTTGTCGTTTGCCAAGAAAAGGAAGTGTTCGTGCGTGCACATGCAAACATTGTAGTCCGCAGGTGAAGATTCGTGCTGCGGCTGGAGTTGCCAGCGACCAAGGCTGGAAACCGGAATCCACAACAATTCCAATTTGTCCACCATCTAGCAGGTGACAACTTCGGGTGAGAGCCTCAAGCGCCGCAAGGGTCATGCTAGCAGCTACAACTGAAGAGCCTGTCAATCGGTCCGGCTGATTGTTGAGGCTCTGGGACATCTCCAACCTTCCGCAAACTGGAGGATCCGTGTAGCGGAGCAACTTTCCCACAAGGCGATTCTGCGCCGTGCTTCAGGTGGTCGCAGCCGAAAGACCGTGGAGGACCAGGCTGGACAAGCAACATGGCTGCAGACAGCCTTGGCGTCGAGGATGTCCGCTTCGAAGCTGCCAGTTTGAGGTGCAGACGGTTCAGAGCTCTTGGCCCACCGGCTTCGGAGGTCGCTTGACCTCTTGGATCCCTGTGCTCGCAAACCTTCATTCACATGTGGCCACTGCAGAGGCATACGTCGGTGTAGATCTCGAGAATTGTCTAGAAGCTCTAGATTTACCTCTAGATCTACCGGAACCGAATGAGTCCTTGCTGGAGCCAAAAGAAACGAATAACTTGACGAAACCAGCCTGAGAATGGGTGTCGAGCCTTGTCAAGGTTGCTTCGAACATTTCCACGGATCTCGCTCATCACAGATTCACATGTGACGTCGTGTTTGGAAAGTCAAACTAAACTTTAGCTCAGCAAACATGCGCACAAGACATATTGTAGCATAGGTGGTGTCTTCCGTGTGATCGTGCTGGCAGCGGCAGAAGGCCTAATAGTTGACAGTGTTGGTGGTGGTCCTGGTCGTAGAAGCAGTGCGAGAAGGAGAAAGAGTTGTAGGAGAGGAAGTAGAAGAAGGAGAAGCAGAAGAAGTAGTAGCCGCAGCAGTAGTAAGAAGTAGTAGTAGTAGTCGTCGTGGTAGTGGTAGTGGTAGTGGTAGTGGTAGTGGTAGTGGTAGTGGTAGTGGTAGTGGTAGTGGTAGTGGTAGTGGTAGTGGTAGAGGTAGTCGTCGTCGTAGTAGTAGTAGTCGTCGTCGTAGTAGTCGTAGCAGTGGTAGTGGTAGCAGTAGCAGTGGCAGTAGGAGCCCCATCAGTCCCGAGCCCCACCCTCGGAGTTCGAGGGTTTGAAGAGTTCTGATTTTCCGGGGCGCCGCTGTTGGAGTTCGAAGGTATGAAGAGTTCTGATTTCAAAAATCCGGGGTGCCCCATCAGTCCGGGGCCCCACCCTCGGAGTTCGAGGGTTTGAAGAGTTCTGATTTGATCAGCCGATAAGCCGATCAGCCAATCAGCCGATCCCCCCCGCGCAAATCGGTTGATCGGCTCCGGCCACCGGCCTCCTTAGCGTCTCGCAATCCAGGTCAGGAATGGGTGCCGTCTTGTCGGCTGATCAGCTAATCGGCTGATCGGCGTAGCACGGTTTGCACACTGCAGATGCCGGAACCAGTATCACAGCCCAGTGAAGCAGTTCAGGCTTGTGGCAGGGACTGTGGGTGTGTATGAGCCGGAGGATCTTTCTTCCAGTGGCTTTTGTTTTGGATGTAGCAGGACCTTTCTTCCACCGGCGTTGTTTTGGATGTAACAGCAGGAGGACCGGATGAGGAGAAGAAGGATGAGGAGAAGTGAGACGAAAGGTGAATCTTCCGCTGCTGAGAATGTCGTCTGTGTTATGCGTTTTGCTGATGGATGCCAGTCATTCGTGCCGGTTCATGCGGATGCGGCTTTTCGATTTGCCTGGTGACTGGTGGTTGCGACCTGCCGGCACGTGCAAGGTTTTGACTCTCCGTCGGTGGGCGTGTGGCCTCAAGCCGCTGATGCTGGCGCTTTCGCAGACGGTGCTGGTTTCGATGCGTGACGCTCAGACTCTGTTCACATGAGTGAATTGCGAAGCGAAGTCGCTGACTTTTGCTTTGAGGGCTCCTGGCCTGGATTTGACCCAGGCACTCAAGGCCAGCTGTGTTCAAACGCTCTCGAGTCCGAACACCGAAGGTGGAGCCACATCGGTTTCTACGGGAAATGATGCGGGAGGATTTGGGGGAAGCGGGAGGGATCGGAAGGTCCAGGCGGTCCCACAGGGTGGAATAATGACGGCGGTTTGGTTCGCCCGCGCCGAACAGGCTAACGCCGGATAACTTCGATGAGGAGAAGCTGCAAACACCACGCGTTTTTCCTATGCACTGTTACTGCCTTGGCACGCTGTATACACATCCGGACCAGGGATTGTGGGCTGAAGCCTGAGGTTTCTTATGAAGCTCACCACGGTTTTACCATGTTTTACAAGCCGAGTAAGTTGTAGTCATGTTGTCTACGTGCCAATGCCCGTCCGCCGCGACTTTGTTTGGTGTTGAACGGAGCCTCCCGGGGACTGAATGAGCAGACTCTTGACTGATCGGATAAGGTGGAAAGATAGGCCACGTGCCACTTCGCCATGCTGCCAGGAACAGGAACCAAGCAGTCTGCATCAGAGGAGATGAACCCGACGCCGCGGGCATCAAGCCCTCGATTGTCGAAGGCAGTACGACTGGGGATGATCTTCGGATTTTGGCATCTGCAGGTCTCTGAGATTGGAGTTCCAGTGAAGATAACAACCTAAACGGATGCAGGCCGACATGGTGCCAAAGAGTTCCCCTGCTTAGCTTGATGTAGTTCGTTTAGCCGGGGCACAAACGGAAGCTCGGCCTTGCTAGGCTAGAGGCCATGCCCCCTACTAGTCGGTGCGCGTGAGGGGTGCCTTCATCCTTTCTTGCGTAGTTTCGACATGCAATCATGCAGGCAGGGCAGGGCTTCGTGTCACCAAAGTCGCCGATTCCACCAGCCGCCTCCTCGCCGACGCCGTGGAAATCCATAGCACCGCCAACAGCATCTTCGCCACCTGTTTCCTACCAGGACCGGATGTTATGTTATGTGAAGTTTGCTGGAGTCTTTGCCACTGCAGACCATCGGTATGTGGCTTGGTCCCAGTAGCTGGAAGGAGGGAAGGGGTGCACCAGATTGACTTTACCGGCCTCGTTTGCATGAAACGATACTTGTGCCAACCAAGGTTCGTGCGCTGCAGCCCTGTAGCCGGCGTTGTAGTGTATTTCAGCCTCTTCTATTTTCATTCCGACCGGGATGCATGCTACCCGTCCTGAAGTGTTAAAGAGTCTTGGACGGGTTCCTGCTGAAAAGTCGGGCGACAGTTTGTCATGCAGGACTCTGTGGTCCTTCCGACATCCTACCGCTTCTTCCCCTGCTGAAAAACTCAACACGACGGATGCTTGATGGAACTCGGGCCTCAACCCGAGTTCCACCCCAGTCCGTGTTTGAACCAGACTTCCTCAGCATGTGGAGAAGCCTGCTCGAAGGAGTCCTTCAAGCCGAGCACTGCCACCCCCACAGCTACGCCAGCTACGCCAGCTACGCTTCCACTCGTTGGCCGACTCATGCAAGGCCGCGTGCTGCATGATGTTTGCTCCGCCTCTGAGATGCGCACGAGGCATCCTGGCAAAAAAGAAGGTCGAAGAGGACCCACCCGTCAAGTTTGGGGGCGGGGTTGTCCACGATCGCTATGAGACAGCCTGGAACAGGCTCGGAAAGCAGCGGCTGACCGCCTGTCGTGTCTCGGCACAGCAGTTTGCTTGACGAATCTTGATTGAACGGGCGGGCTATGATTATAAGAAGTAGGTAAGTATGGCTAGAATCGCAGGCACAGACACGCAGAGGAGCGTTCTTGTTGCTGACGGCTCAAGCGGTGTCAGTCTGATGTGTCAGTCTGACGAAAAGTGAGGATAGCGGCCGCGGCCTGCCATGGAAAGGAAGGCCCTTGAGATCCTCAAGGACGGACTTGAGTCAGAAGGTGGCGCTGCCTTGATTCCTTCTTTCTCCGTGAAAGTGAAGTGGGGCCAGCATGACCTTCAAGGCCTGGGTAACATACGGAAGTTTCTCGCGAAATATCCAGAACTCTTCAGTCTGGAAGGATCCACTGTCACCCTGAGTCAGAGCTTGCTGCCCAAAGACGAGGCACCTAAGACCACCAGCAAATCTGCGCCAAAAGCACCACCTTCATCCCTAGGGGGCAGGAGGAGGCTTGCAGAGGATATCGAGGAAGGACAAGGCAGCAAGATGCCTCGACATGCGGGAGCTCCCACATCGAAGGCCTGGGCCAGCGAGGTTCCGAACGAAGCCAACGGTACCGGCTTGGGGAGGGCCAAGCCAGACAGCCCGGCACCGAAAGCTTCCAAAGGCATGGCACCGAAGCCAAAGCACACATCTGCTACATCTGCTGCCCCTGTCATATCTGCATCTGCGACTCTAAGTGGCTCTGCCGGCTCAGATGCGCAAGGCGTGGAGCCTGCACCGTGGCATAGCCGTCGGCGGATACAAACCGGTTCGATGGGTGCCGGCGCCCTCAAGGATCGGACGCACGTGCCTGATACACTGTCGCATTTCTGGCATTGTGCAATCAATTAGCATGCCCTCTTGCTCCACTTGGGCTGTAGTGACATGTGATTTGTGTTGTGTTGGTGGGCGTTCAATGCAATAGCGAGAAGACCGGGTAGGGGTCGTGACTTCACGAGATGTCACTCAGAATCCGCTTTTAGATCACAGAAGAGTCTTTGTTGTCCAGGGCCTCGCGTGCGAACCGTTGGAGTTCCCCTACTTGTCCTCGCAAAACCTAACAAGCCATGATGATGCTGCAAATCTGTTTGGTTGCAGAACTTTGAGTCTAGATGTAGATCCCCAAGGCCCCAGGCTTGCGCGTCTGCTGTTTCTCTCGAATCTCGAAGAAATGCTTGTATTGAGATTTTAACGGATTTCCTTGCGGAGGTCCTTGGGCCAACGACTGCTCTCTACAGTACATTGTTGTGAGCACGACGGTAGTCTGTGCATCTGTGTCAGCCACTCAAAATCATGGGTGATGCCCCCTGAACGGATTGTGGAAGTTGTGTTTGGGGTGGAGACGGGGTTGAGTGTTTGTCAGCTACACTGAAATGCAATCACCGCGATTTTGGAGGTGAACTGCTTGCAGTTTGAATCTTGAGCAGGTCTCTTTCCCTCTTCCGTGTTTCACCCTTCGCAGAAGTGTGGTAGGAGGAACCATGCACGATCCTGCGGCCAGTGCGGGTGATTGAAGCAATTTTTGGCACTGTTTTGTGAAGTCTTGCCCGATGGCACCATGTATTAATCCTGCACGATCACAATAGGTCAGACAGGGTTTTCAGCAGTTACAGAAACTGATTCCAGAACCCGTCGCACTTCCTCATGTGCTGGATTGTACACCTGGGTGCACAAGAAACCGGCAGCGACCAGTGATACCAAGCGAGGGCCCTGGGTGGGAGCATCATCAGTCGTGGAAGACCTGATGTAGGGCAGCAGCCAGCAGAACGAACTCTTGAGAAATTGGTCATCCACACCTGCATACCCTGGGATGAGGAAAGAAGAGGATCTACGTAGATGGTTTGGCGCGAGTCAGCAAACAGCACTCCTGCCCCGTTGCACCCCAAGTCACGCAGAGGGAACTAACACGAGTAGGTTGATGTCTGCTTCGAGCTATCTGTGCATTCTGTGAAGGAGACGACTTGGGAGGAGGACAGCCTGAGTGATCAGGAACTCATGCACGCGATTACTTCCAGCAAAGCCCGTGGAATGGAACTGGAGCTGGCAGAGCTCCTGAAGAAGCTGCAGCCGACGGATGAGTACAGAAGGGAATGTCAACGTGCTCTGCTTTTGCTGAGGGCTGCATTTGCTCAAGAGTTCCCAGCAACACTGACGAGTAAGGGCCCGAAGCTGGCGATCATTGGTTCCTGTGCTCAAGACACGGAGCTCAACGGTTCTGATGTGGATATAGCCTGCAGGCTGCCAGATTTGAGTGCAGATGAGCTGGATACAAAGCTGGCAAAGCTTTGGGCGCGCCTTTTTTCGGCGCCTCATTCCACACACCTGCTGGCTTTAGATGCTACCCGTTTGTTCCCACATGCACCCTGCCAATGTTCGATCCACCTGAAAGCCTCGGGGCAGAGTCCGGCACCACGATTTCATGCGCATCTTCTTCTTGGTGAGGGCCACGAGTCGCTTTTAGACTCGATGCTTCGCAGTCTTTGTGATTGCTGCAGCAAGGCCAGGGACTTGATTCGGCTTGTGAAGCTCTGGGCTCGAAACCATGGCTTGATGAACCACCGTGAAGGTTACATGAATGGGGTCGCATGGACGGCTTTTGTTTTGTGCTTCTTGCAGAGGGAGCAGTACATCCCACCACTGCAGACAGTTCTGGAGGAGAAGAAGCGATCTGAGATACCTACTGCGAGCTTGCGGGAGTTGCTGCTCAGATTTTTCCAGTACATCTGTGCTCCGCAAGCCAAAACACCAAGAGGCCTTTCTCTGATAGAGGGAAAGGATTGTGAGGCAGCTGTGCCTCCTCCTTCCCATAAAGGGCCTCCGCCACCCTTGTACATACAGGATCCAGTGCAGTACCGGCAGGGATCCGACCAGAACATCGCAGCCACGCTTACGGAAGCCCCATGGGCGCGTATCCTTGACGAATCCAGGCGAGTTGCTGAGAGGCTTGACCCTTCCAAGCCCCAGCGCTGGTTCTATTGGGCTGAAATCTTCGATCCGCAAGGGCTGGCAGCAGCCTCAGCAGGTAGTAAGCGACTGCCGAAGCTTGGCGACGTGAAAGTCCCTTCTGACGACCAGCCTGTCTTGCTTGATGGTGTGTCATCCAGTGCAGTTCCCGCCACCAGCACAGCGGATGCAAGTGGCAGAGGACGTACAGAAGCGAGTCGCAGCGAGAACTCGTACGGAGCTCCTGCAGAAGCCCCACAGGCAAGCTTGCTTGAAAGCAAGATGGGTAAAGAGAGCTGGCCCGGCAAAAGCGGATGGTCGTGGTTGTCTGGCAAAGGACCAGCCGCACAACACGTGTCGCATGCATATTAGCAAAAAAAAGCTTGCACGCATACCAGGTAACTGCAGGTGAGCACGTGCTGCTTCAATGCCCAGAACCGCGGCCGAGGTCCACAAGTGGTGTGCTAGGTTGGCCAGAGGCAGATGACAACGCGAGCCAGCCTTGTGCGGCACTTAAGTCAGACCTTCATGTTTTAAGTGGTACTATCACGCCACTCGAACCTATTGACCACTTGAATTCAACAGAACGCCACGTCTGTTCAAGCGGCATGAGCGTGTTTCCCCATGTCAAACGCGTACACACTGTTTAGGGGTGGGTGGGCGCCACTTGTGCCACTCGTGCCAGGGTTTGGGGTTATAGTTTTTGGGTTTTTAGGGTTTCGGGTTTAGGGGTTTAGGGTTTGGGGCTTTAGGGTTTAGGGTTCTAGAGTTTAGGGCTTTGGGGTTTCGGGTGCTGATGTATTGTTACAAGAACTACTGAACGCCGGACGGAGTGTAGGTGGCACAATTTGCTCAAGCGGGGGCAAACCGCCAATGCAATAGCTCGGGAGGTTCAAGCGGCACAAGTGGCCGAGTGGCAGAAATCAGTTAGGGATTTCCGTTTCCCAATGCACTGTACTATTGAGTTTCTATTGCTTCGCAACCTGCGATGCAGGTAGCAGTCTTGCTCCTGCCGCGGTTGCCAGCCGCAGGCAAGCCCGAGTGACGTTTTGGACTTGCCTTGATTGTAAGTAGTTGCGGTGCCGCAAACGCACAGCAATGCCCCGCAGTGCACCGCAGCATAGCCATCCATGCTGCAGTAGTCGTCCCGAGATTCCAGCGATTCCAGGAGCCAGCCACCGCCTCCGCCGTCCTCGCCGACACCCGCCCGGGCCAAGGCATCGGCACTGCTGCAAGTGCTTCCCCCTTGGCCGGGCGCATAGAGGAGACACGCACGCAGCTTCGCTGTGAAGCTTGTATCGCATTCCTGGTCTCAGGCCGGTCAGGACATCATCTACGATGGATACCTCCCTGAGCACTGCCGTTGCTGCTTTAGAGCGGCAGGCAACATCATGCGATCGGTTGATTTTGCTTTACACTTATCTACACGTCGAGCTGGCATTGTGGCAGAGGAGTATGACTTTGCCTCTGCCGCATTCAAAAGCTGCATTCTGCAGTGGAGGGAGTCAGGCCTGGTGAATGTACGAGCAGCAGACTTGGGGTCTGCTGCTGTAGGGAAAGTTTAGCACATAGCCGGTGAACTGGTGAAGCATGACATGCCATGAAAGTCTGCTTGCAAGTGCTTCCTGGCCGTTCGGGCAGTCTCAATTGTGGTATGTGCATCGAAGGCATATCGGTTTCGGCGGCAGCGGTTCGTCCACGTGTTCAGGCTGAGAGGGCTTTGACAGATGCGGCCATACGATTCGTTACTGAGAAGATACGAATCGTCTGATGGTGAGAACACGAACAGCACCATCGAACTTACCACTCTTGAACATACAGTAGGTGTCAACACACCAATCAGACACTTGTAGGCAGCTGTGAACTACACGAAGCTGTGCCAGCTGCTCAAGAAAATCCAGGCACTCCATGCTGTTGCAGCGGTTCTTGCCTAAACCTTGATGTAGTTGTCAGGTGCAGAAGGAGGGTCTGGCGAAGGTGCTCCCAAGATCTCCCACGTCGAGTTTTGCTGGAGTAGTACCGTGGCTTGTGCAATGTGTTTCTCACAACCTGGACAGGCATACGGCGGTTCGTTGGAGGTC